GTGGAGTGACGTGTTGTGAAGACGGTTTAGAGAGGAGCTAAGCAAGGGCTTCTCTGAAGAAGAGTCGGGGGAGGATGGTGGAAGGAGCAGCAGTGGGATGCTCTGAGAAGGAAGAAGGGCTGGACATTGCTGGAGTGAGGCCAGACAGTAGGGTATGAGACTTGGCGGGAGGAGTTAGGATTATGGACAGGATGACCCTTGTGGATTCAATCTAATCACACCAACATGTAAAAGCCTGATAAATCAATGTTAGTTCCCAGACGTGCAGCCACGTTAGGAACCTCCAGGAATTACAGGGCTGCTCACGCCAGAACGCAGCAAAGAAATACAAACCTCTGTGTGGCACCCACAAAGCAATCGATCTTGCCAATGGCTTGAATAAACTTGGAAGCAAATTTTCCTGGCGAAAAGCTGAGCTAAGTGAAAGAAAGACCCACTAGCACACTATCTCAGCAGGACTCCCTCCTTGCCCCCCCCCCCCCCGGCCCCATAACAGCTACAAAATCCTTTCTTCTCGGAACCGGCTCCACCGATCCACCACCGTTGGGCACCAAGGACAGAAAATCTGGCTTGGAGCTAAATCAACGCACCCCCGGGCTGTGTTCTCTAACGTTAACTGAGTTCCCAAGTCCGGAGCATCTTCGTCGCACACCTGTCAAGTCCCTCCCCGCCCCCGCCCCATCACGATCCCTCACACACCTCACAAACCCACCCACGCCGCCTCTGCCCCAGCTCGAACCAGCCCCGCCATCCGCTGCCGCCACTCTGGGGACAGCAGGTGACAGTTCCCAAGATGAGGCTTCGCCTAGGGAACAAACTCACCATGGGAGTCGCACTGGGCACCGAGCTTGCCCAAATCAACCGCAACCGACCCTCCAAATCCCGCCCGACTTCCGGCCGCGGCCCCGCCCCGTGCCCCTCCATACGGCCGCTCTAGATCCAGGAAAGTCTGGCGACTCTGGCGACTCGATGGTTCAAAGCTATACCCTTTGAACAAGTCCAGCGTCCCTTACTGCTATAAGCGGTTCTAAAGGACCCGAGCACACAACGAAGTTCAACTTAGTAAGAGGATACTATCAGAAGCATGGCAAGAACTAAAGATAACGGAATAATGGGAGATTTTAATTCAAAGGCTCCAAGAATTAGAACGGATTGTAGCTTGATTTAAAAAGTCACATGGTTGGGGTGTAGCTCAGTGGCAGAGAGACTGCCTAGTGTGTGCCAGGCCACAGCTTCAGTGTCTCACACTGGTAAAGGAAACGTAAACACATAAGAAGGAACCAACAATTTGACAGGTGAGTGAAAAAACATGCCAAATTCCCTAAGCAGGTAGTAGTTTATTGTTTCGTAGGAGTGTTCATAGACCATTTACAAAAATTGTTACTATATAAAAGTTCATACAGCCGGGCGGTGGTGGCGCACGCCTTTAATCCCAGCATTCGGGAGGCAGAGGCAAGTGGATCTTTGTGAGTTCGAGGCCAGCCTGGTCAAGAGCTAGTTCTAGGACGGGAACCAAAGCTACAGAGAAACCCTGTCTCAAAATACAAAAAAAAAAAAAAAAAAAAAAAAAAAAAAAAAAAAAAAAAAAATCATACAAAAAGGTCTGTTGGGATTTCAGAAATATTGACTAGATAATCTTATAAAAATTACCTGGAAAATTACAGACTATAAAGTGACGAAAAGGGGCTCTGAGACGCTGCTGAGCACTTAAGGGCACTGGCTGCTCTTCCAGGGTACTGGAGGTTCGATTCCTAACATCCACTTGGCTGTTCACAACTGTCTGTAAATCCAGTCCCAGCAGATCTACAGTGCTGGCCTCCTTGGACACCAGGCACACAAGTCCTGAGTAGACACACATGCATACAAAATGTAAAATTAAAAAAATCAAAAAAGTAAACACTTAGGCCAGGTGGGCAAGTGGTGCACACCTTTAATCCCAGCACTAGCACTCAGGAGGCAGAGGCAGGAGGATCTCGGTGAGTTTGAGGCCAGCCCGGTCTACAGAGTGAGTTCCAGGACAGCCAGGACTGTTACACAGGGAAACCCTGTCTCAGTAAACCAACAAAAGAGGAAATACTTCATTCTCAAAAGTGTACTCTATAATTATTTTTGTTTATAAAGACAAGCGTATTTATCCTAAGCTAGTATTTTTTGACTAGCAACAACAAACACCACACACACACACACAGGCATTCTCTCTCAGCACATGCGTTCACGTATGTATGTATATTGTGTTTGGATGGAGCTCAGTTGGTAGAATGCTTGCCCAGGATGCACAAAGCTTTCTCTTGGTTAGATCTCCAGAATTCATAAACTCACCTGCCTGTAATCCTAGCATCAAAGAGGTGGAGGCAGGAGGATCAAAAAAGGATCAGAAGTTCAAGGACCCTCAGGACCTGAGACCCTGTCTCAAATCAATCAGTCAGAGGCTGGGGAACTAACTCTATATGGGTAAGGTGCAGACAGGAGGCCCTGCAGTGGCTCCCAGAACCTATGGGGTTTAGTGCATGCTTGTAATCTCAGTGTTAGAAGAGGTAGAGACTAGTGTACCCGCGGCTTGCTGGCAAGCCGACCTAGTCTAATTGGTTAGCCTACATCCCAGTAAGAAACCCTGTCTCAAAAATCAAGGTGGGTGGTGTGAGATGGCTCAGTGGGTGACGGCACCTGCTGCCATGTCAGAGGACTCAAGTTCGAGGCCTGGGATCTACACGGTGGAAAGGACTGACTCCCTAAAATCTTCCTGTGACCTCTACCTGTCCGCCACGGTATATATGAGTGTACACACACATTCCACACACACACTCACAGATTCATTTTAAAAAGAGTAAAAATGTAGTTTGTGGTGGTTTGAAAGAAAATGGTCCCCAAAGGGAGTGGCACTATTAGGAGGTGTAGCCTTGTTGGGGGTAGTATGTCACTGTGGGGGCGGGCTTTGAGGTCTCTTTGCTCAAGCTTCACTTAGTGTGATAGTCAAGTTGACTTCCTGTTGCCGGCAAAATGTAACACTCTCAGCTCCAGTACCACATCTGCCTGCACGCAGCTATGCTCCTCATCATGATCATAATGGACCAAACATCTGAAACTGTAGGTGAAGACACCTCAATATTTTCATTTATGAGTTGCCATGGTTGTGGTGTCTCTTCACAGCAATAAAAGAACTCTTAAGACATAGTTACATATTAAAACAAAAACAAAGTGAATTCCTTCTGAGGAACAGCTGAGAATGACCTCTGGCCTACACACACACACACACACACACACACACACACACACAAACACACGCACTCCAGAAAGGGAACCCATTACGGACCAAAGTAACCACTGCACGAAAATCCAACTTGGTAAGCCAGTACATTTTTATTGGGGTTACTACTAGGAATATGAGTGAAAAGTTACTTACAAGGAGCAGGGATGACCCAAAAACCATTGCACCATGTTAAATCCCACCCCCAGCTTGGGTGATGGCTCGAGAAAGTGTGGCCCTGGAGCTCTCGGCACAGCCCGCAGGCAGTTTGAGAGTCTGAGAACCCCCTCCACGTCCAGACAGTCAGACTCTCTCCCCCAGCAGTTGTTACCCCTTTTTAGACAGCTGGCAAGAATCTTTCTGTTTTCTCAGACCTTTAGTTTTCATCCAGAACCTCACAAGCCTCCTTTCCCCCATCCTGTCTGGGATTCTGAGGGAAATACCACACAACAGTAGTCACGGGCTGTTCCTCAAGGTTTGAGAAGAAGTGAACCAACTGTCAAGGGCCTTGAAGAAGCAAAGCTCGAAGCAGTAAAAGGGAATGAGAGATGATTTGTTCTGGAGACATTTTGAGGATCCAAGAACACAGATTTAGTTAATCCTAAAATCCATGTTCCAATGTGGAAACAGTTTCACGAAATCTTAGTTTTACAGAACAAAGAAGGTCATAAATCAAGGTAATTAGAATACATTGGTGGGTACACCAGAGAGGCAGTTACAATGGGATGGGGAAGCATTTCTATAGGCCCAAGATGTTATTGGAACTTTGGGATTGGTGGAAATTAGTGGTCTGCTAACTTAACAGATTCTAAAAGTTATTTTTTCTTAAAAAAAGATTTATTTATTATATATCCAGTGTTCTGCTTGCATGTATGTCTGCAGACCAGAAGAGGGCACCAGATCTCACTACAGATGGTTGTGAGTCAGCATGTGGTTGCTGGGAATTGAACTCAGGACCTTTAGGAAGAACAGGTAGTGCTCTTAACCACTGAACCATCTCTCCAGTCCCTCTAAAAGGTTTTTAATCTATTAATCACAGCAAGATGTTAGTTCTGACACAGAGATGGGCAAGAAATGGCTGTTCTAGAACTAGTCCAAGATAAAGTAATTAGCCACTAGATCTTCAACATTCCAATATCTCCATATTATTGTAGTTGTATTGAAAGACCCTCCGAGTGGTCCTTCCCTCAGGAGGAGACCCCTAACCCAAGGAACAGTCGAGACCACTGGCTGCAATTAGCAAGAGGTTTATTGGGTGGGCACAGGTGCCTGTGGGCGGCAAAGTCCTTTCGGAGGACTTGCGCACCTGCAGGCTGGGAGAAGGTCTTTTTATAGGAAAAGGGTGGCAAAAGCAGGCATACAGAAGCAATGCATGGTTACAGGGATCTCATTGGTCAGTTCGAATGAGGCAATGGGTTAATTTAGGGGACAAGTTTCCCGGAGACATGAAGGTCTGATAATAATAGCAAACTTGGCCCTATCTAGGGTACATGTAGTTTTTCCCAGAACTGTTCGTTCCTCTCCTAGGCCTGGTGTCTGACCACAGATATCCTGTTTTGGCCGCCTAGGAGTACCGACTTTACCTTGAACTTGCATTTGTTTGTGTGAAAGCCTTGCAAAAAGGCATTACAGCAGCTAAGCTGGGGTCTTTCAGTATAAGTCAATCACACCTTGGACCCCCTGGAACTGGAATTAGCCCCGCCCCACCCCGCCTCTGGGCGTTCTGCCCCGCCCCGAGGGGGGACAGGGAAGGGAGAGATGTTCCATTCCTATCTCACCGCGTGTCCGAATGGTTTCTCGTGGGTGCACTCTGCTGGGTTCTCCGAGGCCTCCACGTTCGTCCCTGCGCTCTCTGCATCCTCCCAGAGTTGTTGCACTCCCAGCCTGGAGCGCTCGGTTCACCCAGTGCTTTCTGCTCGCTGGCCCGCTGCGGAACTCTGTGTGGTAGACGCGTTTCCAGAGGACTGAGTTCACCGCGTCGTTAGGACTTACGTAGCTTCCGGTAAACGCTAGGGCGCATGGCGGTGAGCTACGGGAGAAGGCGTGTTGTGGCGAGGCCCTGGGTGTGGGGTCTTTGTGAATTTCGTCCTGTCCCACATTTTTAGGAGTTAGGGCGTCCTGCACTGGAGACACCAACAGCCTCAGGCCGGAGAACTCAACGCTCTCCGCGCAGACCCCGGCTCCCCCGCCCGACTTCCGGTGCCTCAGACCCTCCACTTCTCAGTTCAGTGCAACCTGCTTGTGACTCCGCCACCAGAGCACGTCCCGTAGGCAACACTGTGTCAATGAAGCAGAAGAAGAAAATCCCGAATAGGGTCTCTGGGACGAATGGAGACGAAAAGACCTCCGAGAAACCTGTTCCAGAGGAAGCTCCCCCCAGTGCTGAGGCCCAGGTAAGGTTGGGATTCCCTGTGAGTTTTCTGGGTGCTGGCCCGCCTGCGAGTGTGGTCTAGGTAGGCGAAATTAAGGCCCTGAAGGGATGGGACGGGAGTCTGTGGGATCCTGATGCCTGTCACAGCCACGCCCCTCTTTCCATCACAGGCGGAGCAGCTGGCGAGGGAGCTGGCCTGGTGTGTGGAACAGCTGGAGCTGGGTCTCAAGACGCAGAGACCCACCCCAAAGCAGAGTGAGAGCCCCTTCTTTCTAGTTAGGGAAGTGTAACCGGTGACAGTACTGTGGCCGATGGCGTTGCCAGGGGATGGAACTGCTGCTTTTGTACTTGGACGGTAGGGAGTGTGTATGAAGTTACCAGCTCCTTATTTCTGTCTGCAGAAGAGCAGGCTGTTGGGGCAATCCGAACCTTGCGCAGTGAGAAAACCCCCTTGCCCCGGAAGAGACAGCTGATGCGCTCCTTGTTTGGGGACTACAGGGCTCAAATGGATGCCGAATGGCGGGAAGCCCTGAAGGCCCTCAGGACTGGTGAGGAACTGGGAAGTGATTGATTAAATATATCTACTTCCAGGGGGTAGGGAGAAGCTCGCTCAGGGAAAAATCCTAAGCATACCTCTCCGGGGCCGCGGCCCTGGAAGGAGGAGGACCCAGGTCCTCACCTCCTTCTGCTTTTGGGGCGGGAAAAACCAGCTCATCTGTCTAGGTCTTGGTTCATTCCGCTGACCACAAACAGATACTAGTTGGGTGTAGTTTTTGTAACTAAATGACCTGGATTCAAATCCTGGATCTTAACATTTTTGGCAAGTTACTGCATTGCTGAATTTCATGAGGGAATGACAATGTTGATGTTATAGGACTGTTGTGTGGGCAGTCATAACTGCATGGATAATGTTGGCTGTTACTCGGTTCTGACTCTCTGCTCCCCTGCAGCTACCCAGTCAGCCCGTGTCCAGCTTGTAGGCGAGGAGGCCAGAAAGAAGAGCGGAAGGGTCTGCAGGCCTCGTCCAGCGGGAAGAACCAAGGCCACTGTGGACTCTGCTGATGAAGAGTTTCGGTTCAATTTCTTTTAGATGCTCCTCCATTCTGGACTAGTCATCCTCCTCCAGCGTGGTGTGGGGATTTGTCTTGAGTGCGGGGCCTGGCTAGGAATTGCTCTCAGCGGAAGTGGGATTGGTTTGTCCCTATCTGGTGTGTGGACGCGCGGAGCTGCTGGCCCTGTGAGACTCCTTATGGGAACTTTTGGAAGAGATGTTCCTCCGGTCAGAAGAGAGATGCATTTGGGAACTCCTCTGTGATAAGCCTGCTTGTTGGGTGGGTTGTAGAAAGAAATGGTCCTCCGGTCTGGGAGCTGTTGGTGGTGAGAAACTGAAGAAGCTATGAAATTACTTACATATGGTGCTCAGTTTTGAACGGATGCCCTGGCCATTGGCTTAGAGCTTTATCTATTGTTAGAGCATCCTAATAAATATTTTTTTCTACACACAAATAACTTAGTACTGCAATATACACAAACCATAAAGGAATAAAAAGTAAAAGATCTGCATTGTAACAAGCAGGTGGCAGTTGAACGTCCAGGGTGGAGAGAAGGCTGGGACGAGACTGCAGTGGATCGGATTCCCATGGTAGAAAGGGTGTCTTCAGAGGCGAAGGGGGTCCGGGTGCAGCAGCTTCTCAAACACGGTTTCCGTGCTCAGGCTCATGAGAGGCACTCCATTCAAGGGGAGATGTGCAATCTGGTGCTCAGGCGGGTCAGAACTCTCAAAATCTGGAGGACTGGGGCTGGAGAGATGGCTCAGCGGTTAAGAGCACTGGCTGCTCTTCCAAAGGTCCTGAGTTCATTCCCAGCAACCACATGGTGGCTCACAACCATCTGTAATGAGATTTGGCGCCCTCTTCTGGCGTGCGGGCATACATGGAGGCAGAATGTTGTATACATAGTAAATAAATCTTTTAAAAAAAAATCTGGAGGACTGAAGGGGAAAACTTTTCTATTTCTGGGTAGGTGTCATCAGAAGCAGGAACAGAGCTTTTGGTCTTAGCAGGCTTCTCGGTGATCTGTAGTGCTGAAGCATGTGCATGTGTGTCTTCTTCATGTCCTGCACTCACCTTCTTGACAGTCAAAGTTGGCAGTTTTTGTTTGAGGGGCCTATTAGTCTCCACCGGCTTTCCTATAACCCTGTTGACAGTTCCCAGAGCCTTTCTGCTGGCTTTAGGCAAGGCTGGAGCATTGAATACTTTGCCAACTTGTGGTACTGAGACCTACAATTTCCTATCTAAGGCCTCGGCACCAGAACCCAGCTTCAACCCATCTTTGGATGCCAAAGGGCTGCCTCAGTCTTCATTATCCTTATCAACAAAGACTAGACGAGCCATCCTGGATTACTCTGTGACACCCTACCAGCCCCACCCCTTACAGAATGTTCTAGGTCCTAGAGTCTAGGGTGTCTAAGCCCTTCCTGGACTAAAGAATCCTTCTAGCAAGTATGTAGTTCTTGGTCACAAGTCATCATGTGATTACCTGTACCTAGAGCCTGCTTCAGGGAGAATTTAAGGCACATGCCAGGTGTCTTGATTAGATTACTAAGCTATATCTGGAAAGGGCACCTTCAGAGCAAGCTTTGAAGTCCAGGGAGACTATCTCCAATGGTTTGGGTGTTGATGAATTATTACTGGGGATAGAAGAAGTTAAATATCTGAGTGACCAAGCTTGCTTGGAGGGAAAATCTCCTGGAGGGAAAATACAGTCATAATAAGAGAAAAGTCCTACTTTATTAACCAACACCAGGGATGTTGTCCTGGGGATCAGCGTCACATTAGAGGAGATGTGCTCTTCATTTTGCTGGCACCAGACTATTCTGTGATTTGATCCAGAAAAAGAGCCACATAGAATGTTGGAAACGTTGAGCCAAGATCATCGTAGGAACCTTCTATAACGCTGTAGATGCAGAGCTGACGGGATACTTCTCCATGTGAATGGTACCAGGGATCCTGTAGGTGTTTTGTTTTTTTTTTTTATTTATTTATTTATTTATTTATTATGTATACAATATTCTGTGTGTATGTCTGCAGGCCAGAAGAGGGCACTAGACCTCATTCCAGATGGTTGTGAGCCACCATGTGGTTGCCGGGAATTGAACTCAGGACCTTTGGAAGAGCAGGCAATGCTCTTAACCACTGAGCCATCTCTCCAGCCCCCCTGTAGGTGTTTTGTATAGAAGGTTCTCATGGGGCTAGAGATGGCTGTGTTGACAAACTGCTTGCCCTGAAAGCACAAGAACCTCAGTTCAATCCACAGAAGTCACACGAAAATGCCATGTGTGGTAGCAAACATGTGGAATTCCAGCAGTGGCGAGGCAGGGACAGGAGGATTCCTTGGGCTCAGTAGCCAGCCGGAATAGCTCAAGAGGTGAACCATAGGGCAAAACGTGACTGTATCAAGAAATAAAAAACAGGCCGGGCGGTGGTGGCGCACGCCTTTAATCCCGCACTCGGGAGGCAGAGGCAGGCGGATCTCTGAGTTCGAGACCAGCCTGGTCTACAAGAGCTAGTTCCAGGACAGCCTCCAAAACCACAGAGAAACCCTGTCTCGAAAAACCAAAAAAAAAAAAAAAAAAAAAAAAAAGAAATAAAAAACAAGATGATGATCCCTAAGGAAGAACACTCAAGGTTGTCCTCTGGCGTTGACATGTATACACACATGTGCATACATGCCTGCACATGCATGGAACTTCTCACCAGCAAGAAACCACAGGCTGCCTCAGAATCTGTAATGATTGTATACCCTTAGACAATACACCATAAATCAAACACGCTCAAGCCTGTGTGACAGCCATGACTAGGTTCTAAGGGGTTGCAGAGCTTCCTAGCAGAAGGATGAGCAGCCTCGGAGCTGCTGCTGGGAGCCCTGCTGTCATGTGGGTCTCAGCAGAAAGCAGACATTGTGCTGCAAAGTATACATGCTTCGCTGAAGAGAGGGCTTAGCAGGGAAGAACACTGGCTCCTCTTCAGGAGGATGCAGCTTCTGTTCCCAGCTCCCACGTGACAGATCACAGCAGTTTGTAACCACAGTGACACAGGATCTGACATCCTTTTCTAGCCTTCTTGGGCTCCAGCCATGCACTTGGTGCACATACATGAATTGAGTTCAGGCATGCTCAAACATGCAAACATGCTGCTGGTGAAAAAATGGAAGGGGCATGCGTAGCTCTCCCTTGTAGCCATTTGAACATCATTCCAGGCTTTCAGAGTTCCAAAGGAGTTCAAGAGTCTGGGGAAGAAATGGCCACAGCACCCTGAAACCACAGGGTGTTTTACACCAAGCTTGGAGATACAGCACCAGATTCTGCATTGGTTAAGGGTATCTGCCTACGGAGTCTGATTTAGCCTCGTCTTCCTTCTAGACTTTCGGCTTGGTCACTTTCACTTGGCAAAAATACAAGCATCCATCCTCCCCATTTTCACCACAAGAAGGTTCATGTCTTGGGTTATGACTTCCAAGACAAAGCCGGTGAGAACGGGAAGATGAATATCACAGGCTGCAAGCATCTCACTACCTCCTGCACAGCGGGGTCAAATCTGTGTCCTCGATGTCTGCTTTCCTCTTGTCCATATGGCTGCGTTTGAATCGGTACAGTGAAAACAGTTCTTTCTGGGGCTCATGGTTGACAGTGATAAGAGATTAGAAGCCATGGAATCCTGGATTACACAGCTCTAGCTCACACCTCGGTCTCTTTTCAGGTAATGTCTCACTTAACTGCAGCCTGACACTGAATGAGAGTCCCGTGCTCTCAGAAACCTGCACAACCTTGTGAGGGATGTCTATAGGTTCCATCTTTAGACAGAGACACCCCAAATTCCTTAATTTGTGGGAACACTAAGAACTCTGCCTGCTACTATTGGCCACTGGGGCACAATGCTTCCCGTGGCCATGGCTGAGGGGAAGAAGTAGCCAGACTCACTCTGCTCCATGGCTTCCTCACCACACTGATGGTTTGGTGAGGGGTAGAGGACTCTGTCACCTCTTATCTGATCGTCCTCTCGCTTGGGCATTTTATGTGTCTCTTCCTGCTGCACCTTGGACATGAACATCACATTTTTTTTTCAGCATTACCTCCCAGTGAATCCCCAGAATATATACACACTTCTCCTTGTGCCTCTGTGTCAGGGGGACGGCAATTGGCCCCCGAGTGTCCTGACTGGCTCTGTGTACAGAAGAGTGGTCTGTGTAGGGACTGGGGTAGTGATTGTACAGGAGAGTAGTCTGTGTAGGGACTGGGGTAGCGATTGGATTTATTCTTCTTGGGATGGGAAACAGATTCAGCAACCACACTTGGAAAGTCCCCAAAATCTAGCAGAGCAACCCCTTTCTGGTGCAGACAAAGGCACCTAGAAGGCAGTCAGGAGGTGTTTTCTGGTGACCATGTCCAGACTGTCCTACCTCAGAAGACCCCTGGCCTCATGGAAAAGTCATGGTTAGGCCCAAGTGGTCAATCGTACAGGAGTGAGGGTCCTTGTGCTCTTAGGAACCCTGCCTCCAAAAGAGGAGATGAAGAGCTGTAGCCCAGAGGGGCAGCAACTCAAACACATCCTCACAGCCCTCACAGAACACCACACATGTGGGAGCTACTTCCTGGCTCGCTTCTAGGCACTGGACCAGGATGTCGTATGAAGTCCTTACTGTAATGTAGTCCACTCTGTACACAATTACTACAGCGGGGCATCCGGCATGTGCAGGCTGTCCCAGAGATCCTTAACAACCTTGGGGAAAGGCTGGACAATTCCCAAAGCATAACCAAGGCTGCAGCTGCATACTGCAGCACCATTGACCCTGCACCAACTGCACTGAGAACCATAAATGCATCCTGCATCCCACTGCTGTCCTGTGACAGCCTGTCCCCTCATTCCCACATCAGTAGCACTTACAGAGTGTTTGTACAAATTCTGACACAATCGTGACTCTTATCCACAGTGAGCAGACATTTAATACCAGCTGGTCAAAAGTGGGATCTTTGGGCCTGCAAGGGCCCATTCACAATCAGATTCAAGGTTGCCCTTTGTGCTTTTGCCATGGTTCTCTTAGATTCTCGAGTCTGTATGTTGAGAGCTGTGGTAGTGCGGTTATTTCCTCTGGCTTGATCATGAATGCTGCCATCTGGAGACACAGAAGTTATTCTGTCCGAAAAAGAAAATTCTCACGAGACCATGCCCTTTTCACTTTCTCTTGAGGAGGGAGGAGACACCCACGAAGCTCTGCTTCTCTGAGGTCCTGTAAATGGCGAACAGCTGCTGGGCTTCAGAGTGGGGCATCTTCAGTGGTGTAACAGAAACCTCCTGTAGCTGCCTGTGCATCCTCCTCACTCCCATTAAAAAACCCCAGGAAACTCCCTGCTTCACCAATCTGGCCTGGGGGAGCCTTTCTTGGGTCTGTCTTGGGCTGCTGTCTACGGCAGGCATTTCTTTAACATCTGACTCTCAATTTTCCCATCTAAGAATTCAGTTTCCCTACCAGCAGATCCTGCTTCTTCATCTACTGCCAAAAGCAGGGGAGATCTGTCTCTTTATGTCAAAGCCTTGTGGAGGGGTGCTGATTGGCTTGCCCAGACCACCTGTCTTTCTGGAGGATCCCCACCAGGATCAGGTCTTCAGATTACTAGGACTTTATGTCATGTGTCCAGTCCTGTGGCTGTATCTTCCCTGGGGTAATCAGTGCCACCATGATTTTGTGGGTAAGCATTTTCCAAGCTAACAGGCAGAACTGTGAAGTCTTGGTTCTCAACCTGGCTGGATAGCACACACCTGTGCATTTGTAGGGGAGTTTCCAGGGAGCTTTGGCATGTGGGACAGTGACTGTTGTAGACCCATCCTGATTGTGAATGGTACCCTCTAAAGGGCTGGGAGCCCAGGGAGGAGATTAGGAAAACAGGAAGACTTGGGTGTACAGGCCCCTTCTTTGAGGAATTGACCCAATGTTGGTAAAGTCTTAAAGGCAGTAGATCCTGTTTCTTAGAGTCCTGGACCCAGCAGTTTTGTGGTCTCCATCCATTCTGCCACCCAAAGATGAAGACTACATTATTCTGCTGCCCAGAGGACCTCACAATTAGAGACTAAAATTTAGGCCATTGTTGAACAAAGATTTCTTATCATGTTTGATTTCCTAAAGGTTTGATTAATCTGGATTGCTTTTTATTTCATCCTCAACTGACATCAAGAATGAATGCTACTATTTTTTTCCTTTTCTTGGGAGATGAGTTCATTAAGTGTATCTTCATTTAGGTTGTGTGCTTTAGTGTACTCTTCTTGGCCCATTAACATGTATTCCTTTTATTTTCTTCACAGATCTGATTTCACAAACTTCCAATCTTTACCAGAGATTTTATCAAATGAAAAGTAAGGGTAGGTCTTAAACCCTGTGTAGTCACTGGGGACCCCTCTGGGTTAGCTAGGGAGGAAAACTGTGATAGCTGTGGCCTGAATTCAAAGCCCCCTGCTGGAGGCAGAGCTACAAGCACATGGCAGAGCCGCTGTTCTCCCTGGGGAAATACGATTGCTGTCAAGAGTGAAGGCCTGAGTTTGATTCCTGGGACACACATGGCAGGAGAGAACTGACTATTAGCTATTCTGTGACCAACATACATGTGAAATTAAAATTTTAAAAAAGAAATTTTAAGTTTTCTCTGGGCAGAGAAATTTGGATCAGTCTCTCAATGGAGTAGGTGTGAACGGCCTGACGATTTAACCTGCCCTTCTGATCCTGTGACTGGTGTCCTGTGACTGCTCTCCCTTTTTTTTTTCTTCTGATTTTCGAGACAGGGTTTCTCCATAGCTTTTTTGGTTCCTGTCCTGGAACTAGCTCTTCTAGACCAGGCTGGCCTCAAACTCACAGAGATCCGCCTGCCTCTGCCTCCCGAGTGCTGGGATTAAAGGTGTGCACCACCACCGCCTGGCCGACTGCTCCCTTCTTTAGCAGGAAGCTGGCCTGCACCTACATCTGATAACTGCCCTTCTTTTCCTGTCCCTTGCTTCCTTTTGCCTTAACTCTCAATGTCTGTGGTTCTAAAAGAAATTTATTTAATCTTCAGCCTGGGTAGTCATATGACTCAGGCCTGGCCAATCAGAACATCACACTACCTTGGACACAGTGATTGGCTCGACAATAGTCATGTGACTAGTCCGGGCAATTGAAGCTGAAGACACTGAGTGATAGGATAAGGTTGACTGGAACTAAGTATCCTCTTCTCTCAGGTGGCCTGGGAGGACAGAGTGGGCTGTTGCGGCCTATGCTCCTACTACGGAACCAGGACAAGTCTGAGATGGTGAGCTTCTGAGAGCCTCCTGTGGACAGAGAGCACAAAAAGAAAATATAGAGAGGAAGGGGAGGAGAAGGAGGGAGGAAATTTGAAGGAAAATTGAGCCAAGATTAACCTGTGTTGGGGGTGACCCTGCAGGGGTACCATTTGTGGAAGGGGCGAAAAGGCATGGAGGAGTCAATCACACAGACTCTGGAAGTCAGGGGACACCCAAAAACCAACTCCTTTATTGAGGGTGTGGGCAGGCCTCTCAGATCCCATCCCAAGGTCCCACTGGCTCAGGTGGCCAACTCTGCTGTGTTGTCCTTCTTTCATTGGCATCTCTGGTCCGGTTTCTCTGTCCGCAGTCTCTGGGTAAAGCAACAGCCCTTAGGTTGCTCAGGGAGGAAGTTCCTGCCATGTATGCTCGTGTGGGCAGGTTTTGGCAGGGTGGCTGAGGCTTGAGTAGGCTGACCAAAGTTTCTCCTACAAGTCTGGACCAGCAGCTTCTCTTGTTTTTGACTCTTCATTAAATTTTATTGTCCACATAAGGCTTTCATAGTTACAAATGAGTATCCAGATATTTAAATAAAACATTAACAACAGAGGGAAAAATCATATATGTACTATTTTCTCTATTTAAATTGAGCTTACGTGAGTATTTCTAAGGTATACTAATGAAAACATTTTTCTTAGAGATATATAAAAACTAACAAAAACCAAGTAACCAAGTTACTTAAAAAAACACAAAACACTCAAATCAAAACTAGTGGAACATTGGGGGTTCAGAGTGAAGCCTAAACTCCGATTCTGTACCCTTTGTTCCCTCTCAATCAGATTCAAGGACCCAGATCTCCTTTCCAAGGCTCGGAAGGAATTTCTGCATTCTGCATGAGGATGTGTGGCACAGGAAGCGCTGTTCTTAGTGTCTTCCAGCAGTGTCCTTTGGCGGTCACATCTAAAGGGATGTGTGCTCCCCACACATTGTGAGTAGGATCTTATCAGGTCCAGAGTGAACACAGATGGAGCACCTGGATTTCCTTGCGTGCAGGAGACGTCGATGACTAAGAGAGCTGCACCCTATATGGAAGGTGCCCTTGCAACACTGGAGCAGAACAATGTGAAATACAGGCAAATGTCATTCGGGAATCCATTTGCAAAATGATGCAAGGAGATTGGATTGAAATTGTCGGGAAACACAGGAGCCCTGGATGAATTAAGAGCATTCTTGCAGTTCAGTCTGAGTGACAGTTCCACGTTAAGTTGGAGAGGAAGATGTGACCAAGATGGTCAGCATGAGGTAGGCATCCAAGCCATTGCTGGTTGTAGAGGGAGGTGTTTTAGACACTCTGGGTACTGGTCCTAAAAGCACAACGAAAGATGGGGAGGTAGAGGCTCAGTGGGCAGATGTGCCTTCTGTCCAGTTCAGGATCTGGCAAGCAGTGCCTGGGCAGCAGTAAGCTAAAGGGGGAAGTGAACCGGTAGCTCAGAACCTGTAGCTGGAGTATGGACGCAGGGGCCTGTTGCCCTGGGTTGCAGGGCCACAGCAATCTGAGCTTCTTGCCTGGCTCCCTCCTGCAGCAGGCACTCCTTATCAGGGCTGGAATTCTCCAAGGCCACTTCAGTTTCAAGGGTGGGCAGGCAGCAGTAGCACAGTGCTCTGAGTGCCCGGGACATTCGCTTTTTGATCAGCTTCCGGAGTGGCCTGGTTCCAGAGGCTGTGGGTACATCCTGGGGCTGGTCACTGGGCATGTCTGGCTCTGTGGATGGTTCCTCTTCGGTGAAGGCTATGTTCACAACCCCTATGCATTTCCCCTTCAGAGGTGGCTCAGGGGAAGAGAAATTTGCAGACAGGCCATCAGCGAAATTCGTGTTGACTGCAGTGTCCCCTAGAGTGGGGTTGATGGTGTTGGCAGGCAGTGAATCTTCTGGGTCTTTCTTGTCCGACAGGCCGTCTGCTGAATTCAGGTTGACTGCAGTGTCCCCTGTAGCAGGGTTGATGGTGCTGTCAGGTAGTGACTCTCCTGGGACCCTGTTATCTGAGTAGTGCATCACCTTTGGGCAGCTGTATGTGTGCAGCCTAACATTGCTTCTGTATTTCATCAGCAGAGCTGGTTTGCTATGTCTCCTCTTCATGGGGTCAGGGAGGCTAGTAGCAACTGCAGGGATGTTATTTTGTAGACTGCTATCCCCAGAGGTCAGTTTGAATCTGATGATGTTGATGGTGGCTGTGATATTATCCAACTTCAGGTGTTTTAGGGCTCCTACAACCTGTTGGCAAGTGTAGCCAATGTTACACATCGTCTCCACGACCTTGGGGAGGATTTCCTTGGCAGGAGGTGTTACGTGTTCCTCAATATGGCCCAGCCATGGTCGTTGGACAAGCCGAGATGATGTTAGTCTAAACCGTATATGAACTGTGAGCAGTCTCGCCAAGATGGTGTAACAGCGTGTAGAAAGAAGGCGGGGAATGGGGCACACGGTGGCGATGATATGGCGGTACATTTCTTCCAAGGTGGATTCTTCATAGGGGAAGTGTCCGGTGACCAGGACATAGAGAACAACGCCCAAGCTCCACATGTCCCCTGCCATACAGTCATATGGTTTTCTGGCTAAGATCTCTGGGGCCCAATATGGTAAGGAGCCCCAGAGTTCGTGCAGCATCTGGCCCTCTACAAGCTGAGTGGCTAACTCGAAATCGCAAAGCTTAACCTTGCCGCCTTCACCCAGCAGGATGTTCTCTAATTTGATGTCACAGTGCGTGATCCTTCTTTGGTGCAGGAAGTGCACAGCAGATGCCAATTGGTTGAATATTGGCCGAACCTCCTCCTCCTCTCGCTGATGAATATCGCCAAGTCTTTTCCTTCACTGTATTCCATAATGACTTATGTGGTCCACTGCGTGTTGATAGCGTGGAGGAACTGGATGATGTTCCAGTGTTGCAAGGACTTATGGATGGCTATCTCAGATCTGATGAATGCCACTTTATTGTGGGCTTTATTGAGTGCCTTGATAGCCACCTTTGTATTTGTGGGAAGGTGGTGGGCAAGCATTACCTCCCCAAATGAACCACAACCTAGGGATGTCAGGATTTTTTTTTTTTTTTCGAGACAGGGTTTCTCTGTGGCTTTTGGAGCCTGTCCTGGAACTAGCTCTGTAGACCAGGCTGGTCTCGAACTCACAGAGATCCGCCTGCCTCTGCCTCCCGAGTGCTGGGATTAAAGGCATGCGCCACCACCGCCCGGCAGGATGTTAGGATTTTAAAATCCTTCTCGAGGATAGCCTCTTCCTGGGGTCTGGCCATGATGTTCACTACGTTGTAGTTCGTTGGAAATCTGAGGGACACACGATGCTAGGGGGAATGATATAGTTTTAGGATGGAAGTTTACAGGTATGAATTCTTTGTCTTGAAATCTGAGACATCCCAAACAACCTAAAGATGCCTTTAAGGCTCAAGAAGTACAAGAAGCCTCAGTAGAAAAAGTAAAGACTAAATGGATTTTTCAAATAGGAAATTGGGTAATAATGAAGAAAAAAAATAAGACATTCACAAATCAAACCTAGGATGCAAACTAATAGCATAAATGGAAACACGAAATAGCAAAACTTAACCCTGGAACCAAAACCAATGAATTGGAAAGGAACTCACTGTAAAAAAGTCCAGTAGATTGGAGATTTGTAGTCTGTCACAGCCAATATTCAGAACACGTGTTCTGATGACTACCGACAGCTTCTCTGAGATACAAGGATAGGAGCCCAATGCAGGCAGTGCCTAAAACAGAGGAGTTGTTAGCATACTTTATAATGTCTCCTTGTGATGTCACCCCAAGGAGCTGCCCAATCATGGTTTGTCTAACTGACAGTGGTTAGTCCAGGTTCTGTACCAAAACCAGTGCCCTGAGTATTTTTCTCATGGCTGGCACAAAATCCCAGACCAGAATCAAATCCAGGGAGGAATTTGTGTGTGTGTGTGTGTGTGTGTGTGTGTGCTTTCAAGACACACTGAGCCATGGTGGTGGAGCATCTTGTTCCCAATAGAACTGATAGTTAGGTAGCTGGTGACCCTGAATTACAAGTTGTCTATTCCTAAGTGGCACAGTTCCTCCAGCTAGCCACATGTCTATGTGTTCCACAAATTCCCAAACTAGAAGCCAAGTTCTCAACACGTCTGACATGCATTGAGCAATCCCACTGTGGTACTTTGAATTAGAAATGTCTCATACATGTGCAACATTTGAACACATGGACACACAAGGTCAGTTGATGGTCCAGTTTGGGACCTTTATATGATGGAACCTTGGTGGCAGAACTCCATCAGTGGGACTACGTTGGTTGAATCAGCATAGTCTTCATGTCTTCTTCTACTTGCTGGAGTTTCAGTTGTTCACATCTCAATCTCCTGCATTTGGCTTCGGGAATCCAGACAGCTTCCATGATTCTGAACCACCCCAAAAGGCTTTTTTTCCTCGAAACTAAGACAGACAGGTATGCTTACTCTTTCTTAAGATGCCATGTGTGTAAATTTTTACCACGACAGAATGGTAGCTAATAAACATAATCTTAGCAGAGCTGGTCGATCCCCATCGCCACCCTACCGTGTTGTCCAGAAGTCAAGCAGACTCATTGCTGTCACACAGTCACACATTGATCTGTTCCATCCACCTCCACCAGACAAACAATGACCCCTTCAAGTTGCCTGAATTCCAGGTCCCGTCCTCTATAGTTGTAGCACAAGCATCATACTAAATAAACCTGCTTCCTGTTGGTACAGGACCGCCCCTTCCCTCAGAAACCTGCAATTCCATGGAGACATGCTTTGTCTGACAGGAATGAAACTGCTTCAGACTCCCATTGCGTGGCCTTCATTGCTGGAGTCCTGGTGCCCGGATGGAGGGTCTTTCCTAGCATCACTGTCTCTCTGTAGCTCTCATCTCTCCTCACTCCCCACTAAAGATACAGACTTGTATAACAAGGAAAGATAGAAGATCAAACTTAAAAGTTGAAATATAAAACTTGGCAACACAGTTGGAAAGAACCGATGGGATGACCTTCTCTTGTATTGTTACCGGGAAAACTCACTGGTGAATCCAGCAATCTAAAGAAATAACTGTAAAGATCCACAAATATTCCAGTAGTCCATAAAAGTGAGGGAAGGGAGACTTTCAAATCTTCTTATAAAACAAACTCTTCTCATAAAGCCTTAGTCTCTAGCCAAGTAAAGACACCTTGAAAAGGGATGAGAATGTGAAAGGGTCGTTGACTAAGAACATGGGATTGTCCTTAAGAAGAGTACTAGATTGTTTACTTCTTAGTAGGTGACACATTAAAATAATCATTCTTCATGATCAAGATGCCTTTGGGCAAACACGGGAATCAATTCACCTATAAAACTTGACAAAAGGGCATAGCATGGGCCAACATCAAGTGAACATAGTCACCCATGAAAAGGAATGAAATGCCACTGCCAGGAAAATCATGGAACCAGTGAAAGTTATATTACAGACAATCCAATTCATCAAAAAACATTCTAAAAGGAAAATCTCAATCAATGAAAGAAGAATAGAAATAACAGCTACATTTTAAAACAAAATTTTATATAGTCAAAAAGAATCAATCAATAACTGTCAAACACCAAAAGACAAACAGAAAACAGGGAAACTCACCTTTTCAGGATCCACCTACTCTGGAATGTCCACAATATTAGAAATAACTGAGTCCAAATCCTCCTCCACCAACCAACTCCTCCTCTGGGGTACAAGGACAAAATCCAGCCTCAGGTAGCGCCTTATATAGACTGGTCCCTAGCTGACCTCACAATGAGTCCCTGTGATGTCACTTGCACTGGGCCCATCATGGCTGAACAAAACCACAGTATTTTGCTGTAGTTGTTTTCCAATCTCACTTTCATTTAAATAATTTTTTGTTGAAAAGTTTTTTTCATTTTACATAACAAGCAGAGTTCCTCCTCTCTCCTTTCCTTCGGCTCCCTCCCCACCTTCTCTTCAACCAACCCCCACCCACTTCTCAAAAAGAAAAAGACCTTTCAGGGCAAGTCAAAAAAGCTTGGCATACCAAGTTGAGGCTGGACAAAGGCCCTCCCCTGTATCAAGGCTGAGAAAGGTATTCCTCCATAAGGAATGAGCTCGAAAAACCCAGTTCATGCAATAGGGATAAATCTTGGTACTACTGTCGGTGGCCCCACTGAGTGCCTAATTCACAGAATTTTCACCCATTTTCACAAGGCCTAGTTTGGTCCTATGCAGATTTACTATCTGTCAGTCCAGTGTCAATGAGTCCCCACTAGCTCCGGTCAGCTGTCTCTGTGAGTTTCCCCATCATGATCTTGACCCTTTGCTCACATAACCCCTCCTCTCTCTCTTCAACTAAACTCCAGGAGCTCGGCCTAATGCTTAGCCCAGCAGCTTCTCTTAACTCACTCATTTATGGACCAATGCATTTAGTGTTTGCTTATGTTCACTTTGTGGATTCTCTTGCCCGCCTGCAGTGTCTGTCCTTTCTCTTTTCCTTCCTCTTCCTCTCTCACCTCTGCTCTCCCTCCTCTTTCTTTTGCTCATTTTTTTCTCTTCTCCTCTTGTCCTTGACAGAGTCTTACTCTGTAGTTCAGCTGGCCTCGAATTCCCTGTGTAGCCCTCAGGTTTGCAGCAATCCTCCATATTCCCCCAAGGGCTAGGATCACAGGCATGAGCCTGAAGAACTGGCTCTCAGTGTCCTCTATGTGGGTTTCATGAGAGTTACTCCTTGTCACCTTGCCTGCATTCAGAATGACCCAGGAAACATGTGAGAAACTCTACTAGTATGTCTATGAAGGAAGTCAAGGAAGAGCCACCCTGAATATGGATGGCACCATTCCAAGGGCTGAGAAGCTAGATGGACTCCAAGACAAGGAGCTGGGACGTCTCCTCTCTGCTTCCTGTCTGCCTGAAGAATTTCTCTGATAGGTCCTTCTGCTCTCATGATTTTTTTAATATTTATTTATTTATTATGTATACAATATTCTGTCAGTGTGTATGCCTGCAGGCCAGAAGACCCCATTACAGATGGTTGTGAGCCACCATGTGGTTGCTGGGAATTGAACTCAGGACCTTTGGAAGAGCAGGCAATGCTCTTAACCGCTGAGCCATCTCTCCAGCCCCTGCTCTCATGATTTTATATGAAAATATTCATTGCCCAACCTCTGAAACCCTGAGCCAGAATGAGTACTTTGTCCCTTTATATTGTCACAGTGGTGAAAAACTAACAAAGTTTCTACATCTATATGAATTAACCACATCGGTCATATGAGTTCAGCTCCTGTCTCCAACATCTTACAGCCTAAGGACTGACCTCCCTTGCTCGTAATGGACCTTGTCTTTTCTCATTGCTCGAGAGCGCGTGAATATGGCCTGTTTCCTACTGTAGTAGAGGCTCTTGGGTCACACTCAGCCTTCCCTGGGTCTTTTTCCCCTGCTGCTGCCGAAGGCCTGCACACCAAACCTTGCATGAGTAATGAATGCTCTCAAGGAACTGGACTTAACTCTCTGTGAGGTACCTTCAGCTCCCTAGCTAGAAGTTGACTGACATGGGCCAGGGAAGCCAATGTTTTGGCTCCTGGAGGGCCAGATAGTGAGGTCAAAGGGGAGTCTCGCACAAAAGGGGCTCCCTCCCAGATCCCCAATTGGGTACTTCACAGATTCTTTAGTAAGTAGGGAGGAAAAAAGTGGCTGATGTCTGACTTGTATAGTGAATGATCTTGCAGGTATAACTAAGAGTAGGAAAGGGGGCTGTGTTAGAATGGGCTGTGATGCTGTGGTAAAGGAGATAAGTGACAAGGGGAAGGGGGGAAGGGGAAAATGGAGAGGGGCAGGGGTTTTATCCTGAGGGGATGAAAGACTACCTCAGAATAGATGGGGGACAGAAGAAGCCCATAGACAAATAACAGTTTACCAAGGTAAAATGGGAAGCCCTGTCTTACAAAGAGGTGTTTAACTTTAAACAGGCGTGTTCATTAGGTGAGCCAAAGAGGACTTTTGATATCTGGGCTTTGGTAGTCAGCCTCAGGAGGAAAGAGTGGCCAAATGACGAAATAGACCTTGGTGGCCATCTTTGGGAATGTAACCTAGCAGTTTTTAGCAAGGCAGAGGGCAAGGCCTGCCAGAGTTATGCTTGCCATGCTTGAGCTGGCCAGAGTTCCTTCAGTGGGCTCCCAGTGGCGACCTGAGCTGGGAAGATGTCTCTTCATGTCACACAGTCTCCCTCTTCCCTGTCCCTTCACAAATGACTCCCAATTTCAGCCTTTGCTTCTGCAGAGCTCAGCCTGTGGCAACTTGTAATTTCAAATATGGCATCCTTGGTTTCTCCATATTCTTTCATATTCCTCTTCCAGTGATGCTCCTCTCAATGGGTGTCTCTATCTTTGAATCTAGGTGGACGTGGGGCTCTGCCAGCAGATGAGAAAAAGTGTTGCTGTGGAATTCGAAGGCTAGGTTGTAAGGAGTGGCGCTTTGTCCTGGCTCACTGGGAGTGTTTCCAGTGAGGGATTCTGGAGCATAAAGCCTCTTTGTGAGTGCTTTATTAATATATTAAAGACTGAGAGCTGGGAGGTGGTGGCTCACGCCATTAATCCCAGCACTTGGGAGGCAGAGGCAGGTGGATCTCTGTGAGTTCGAGACCAGCCTGGTCTACAAGATCTAGTTCCAGGACAGGCTCCAAAGCTACAGAGAAACTCTGTCTCAAAAAAAAAAAAAAACCCAAAAAACAAAAAACAAAAGCAAAAAAAGATAGATAAATGGATGGATGGATAGATAAATAGATGATAGATAGATAGATAGATAGATAGATAGATAGATAGATAGGAGAGCATGTCTGAATATGTACCAGAGGCAGGAAGGCCTGAAAGAGTCCAGAATAGTCATGACCAGACTGAGCTGTACCATGTAAAGAGAAGGGAGAGGGGAGAGGGAGGAACCAGGTGCAGCAGCCAGGAGGCCCAAAAGCACAAAGAAGGCAGGTAACCAAAATTTTTGACTTATACAGGGGGGGGTAGCCCTGTCCCTGGGCTGGAGAAGATTAGGGTGATGGCTGTGTATGCCAGCCGGGAGGACCCTGTACCAGGCAGGGACTGAGGAATGCTGGGAGAATCAGGCTGCCAGCATCCACTATGGTATCTTAAATAGGGCACCTCAGCCATTTGTCCCAGGTTTGAGACCTAACAAAGGCCCGGCTCTGGTTCACCTACATAAACTCAGTTCTCAACTTGGATCTGGCACAGATGAGCCCTCGGTCTTTGAGATCTAGTGTGACCGTTTCCATTACCACTGTCTGTGCACTTGGCAGGCATTGCTCAGAGCAGTGCCTACACTGCCCCTAACCATCAACCTCTGCCAATTCATGGCTGTGTAGTGACCTTTCCCAAGAATTGGCAGAGGCTGGTTGAAACCTAGCTTTGGGAGACACGAGTGTCAACGGATGTAGCAACTGGACAGCCTCCAGAGACAGCCATATCCCAATCGGAGACGTCTGTGTTACTTTATCTGGCACAGAGCCCCTTGCAGACGTGACTAACTTAAGAACTTGAGACAGGATGCAACCCGGGTGAGCCCCTGGGGATACAGGAGTAGGAAGACTATCAGAAACCACATGTAGGAAAGAGCAAAGAAGCAGCCACTCTCAAAAAGAGAAGAAACCTGCACTGCCCATCCCTGTGGTCAGTGAGGCAAGAGTTGAATTGTGGGGCACAGATCTGGAAGTGTGTGTTCGGGACAGGAGCTGGGGCTCAGTTGGCATCGCTAAGCCCTGGGTCCCATTCGCAGAACCATATAAACTGGGTGGGGTACTGTATGTCTTTAATTCCAGGACTCAAGAGGTACATAGGACTCTGTGTCCAAGAAGAAACTAATACATTCTATTTGAAACTTCTAGAACCATAAGGTAACAAGATAATGCTCCAAGCATAGGTGGCCACTGGAGAGGATGGTGAAAAGGGAGGACTTTGGGGGTCTCCTGGTTCAAAACCCCACTAGGCCTCTAAGCCCAGGCAAGAGCCATTCGGTGGTGTTTTTCAGGTATGGGGAGGGCAACACTTCTAGGGAAGGAGGCCTCAGGTTGCTCTGGCCCCTCACACTGGGCAGTCTGGGAGAAGCTGTCTGGCTGGAATCCATTTTCCAGGCAAAGAAACTGAGTTCTGGCATTGTCCTCCATGCTGATAGGGTGAGGGCAACCCTCAAGACCAGTGAATCTTCTTCTTCTTCTTCTTCTTCTTCTTTTTTTTTTTTTTTTTGATTTTCGAGACAGGGTTTCTCCGTAGCTTTTTGGTTCCTGTCCTGGAACTAGCTCTTCTAGACCAGGCTGGCCTCGAACTCACAGAGATCTGCCTGCCTCTGCCTCCCAAGTGCTGGGATTAAAGGCGTGCGCCACCACCGCCCAGCTCCAGTGAATCTTCTTAAAAACACCCTTCTCTCCCCTTCTGAGCTGGCTCCTGTTTGTCCCAGAAGGCAGGAGATAGTGGGGTCTGCTTCTCTCCCCTTCTGAGCTGGCTCCTGTTTGTCCCAGAAGGCAGGAGATAGTGGGGTCTGGGAAAGCCAACCAGTGCAGAACCCAGCTGTGTGAGGAAGGGAGCATCGTTAGCCTGGGCAAACAGTTCTTCCTGTCTCCACCCCTTGGTCCTCCTAGGCTTTGTCCCTAACAGATGCATGAGATTCCCTGGATGCAAGGGCCAGTGAAGCTGGGTAGGGAAGGGGTCAGACAACACATGCTTGACCCCTGACCCCCGCCCCCCACCAGTTAGCAGCACAGCCTGAATTAGCTGAGCCTGGAAATGGACTTCATTGAGGGTTTAAGATGTCCCCTGGCTCA